AGGAATCACAAAACCCTCGGGTTGTTTCATGTAAATTTCTTTGTCCAAATTTTACATTTAAGAAAGTTATTTTCACATTCATTTGATGAATTTGGAGGTCATATACCACACTAATAATTTTTTCATCCGAATGGATGTAATTTTAATTATTAACGAGGATATACATATATATATTGACAAGATCAAAAACTTGGTTTTTTTTGTGTAAAGCCTTTAACACAAAGTATTGCTTTATATTTTTCTACAGTTCCATCAACTGTTATTTTCCTTCGAAAGATTCACTTTGAACCCAAAGGTTTATTTTCTTGAAGAAGATCAATTAACTTCCAATATTGTTTATTGACACCATATTTCCAAAAAATGAGTCCACATATACAAAATCATATTCGAAGGAAGTAAATGTCCTTTAACATTTACTAAGCCTCCGAATCTCTTTATTAAGTACATTATCCTTTTCATTTCCTAGGCCTTTTAGACCTTTCTCGAGAGTATTCAAGTCTAATTTTACAGTCCACAGTAATAGGTCCTATTTTAATTCTTTTAGGAATAGGAACTTGGATTTTGACTAGATAACCCCACACTTTGAAATATTTCAAGTTGGATTTCCTTTCTTTCCATCTCTAACAAAATTGCTTTCTTTCAAAAAAGACAAATTTTTGTTGTTCTCTTTTGTTGTAAAGATAGTTCTTCCATACAAGTTTTGTGTAAACCCGAACTTATAATTAATGCATCCATAATTTCATTCAACGTTCGGTTTTTCATTAGATTAAGGTGAATATGGACGTAGTTTGATAGATATTCGACTTTCCAAACATATTTCTGCACAATGAGATTTATACTCTCCATTCTTATCACCTCTTATATTTTTTAACACTGATTTTCAACTTCGATATTACACTATCTAGACATTTCTACTGCTTCATCCTTACCATTCAGCAAATAAACATAGTCATTTATAATGCAATTCTCAAAAAAGTAACAAATATTTTTTTTCCAACATAAGATGGTGTTAACTTCATATCACAAATTTCAGTGTAAATCAATTCTAAGGGATTAGAATTCCTTTTAACATATTTATAAGTATGCTCAACGTACTTAGATTCAACAAAAACATGACATTTTTATTTATAGCACTAAAAGTTAGACAAAACATCTAAGTTGATTAGTTTTCCTTACAAGGTTTTGTAATTGACATGACTAAAGTGTTCATGTCACAAACATTGACTCAAGCAAGAAAGAACAAATAAAAACATTGAGTTTTAAAAGCTCTTCGCGAGGTAGCTTTTTCCTCACTAATATTTTGTTCCTATTTCTTACAATTTTGTCAATTTTGTGTGATACAAATATTATTTAGATTGTCAAATGTCCTTTTCAGAAGGACATTTCCATAAATTTCAATATGATTGTTATAGAACTACCCATGAACAAAGTCTCATCGGGTTCAATAAAGACAATATAGTCCAAATGTTATTTTATAAAAAAAACATAGCAAATGACTATTCACTAATATTCATGTCTATGTAAATACTTTTATTATAATAGACATATCTTTTCATGAAAAATCACAACATTTTAAGTGATGTTTTTTTTCCATAAAAGAACACAATTATTTTGAACAAATATATATATAATTTCGATCTTTCATACTACTCACGCTATATACAAGTAATAGGGAAACTCAACAACCACAATACCAAATATACCCCAAGATTTTATGGGTATAACATAATACAAAAGTATCATTGAATTTCATATCTTTTGCTCCAAAATTACATTAGACACCAAGTCTAATAATAAGCAAATAACCCCCACCTTTCAAATGTGATTTCAAAAATATTTTTCAAGTATTTGAAAATAGTTTTTCCATATATTTTAATGTCGGAAACATTATTCTACGAAAGAATTATAGTGGTGCAATTCTCTTTGACAAGGTTTACACAATGTGAAGGTTCATTCCATAGAGACA